TTGCGCGCGGCCTCCGGAGCAGCCCGAGAGGGCCTTTATGAGGCGTTTAGAGTCTTCCGGAGTGGCATCGGCCAAGGTTTGCGCGCGGCCTCCGCCGGAGCAGCCCGAGAGGGCTGTTATGAGGCGTTTAGAGTCTTCCGGAATGGTATCGTCCAAGATTTGCGCGCGGCCTCCGCCGGAGCAGCCCGAGAGGACCGTTATGAGGCTTTAGGAATCTGCCGGAGTGGCAACGCCCAAGGTTTGCGCACGGCCTCCGGGTTATGAGGGTTTGCGCACGGCCTCCACCGGAGAAGCCCGAGAAGGCCGTTATGAGGCGTTTAGAGTCTTTCGGAGTGGCATCGCCCAAGGTTTGCGCACGGCCTCCGCCGGAGCAGCCCGAGAAGGCCATTATAAGACGTTTAGAGTCTTCCGGAAGGGCATCGCCCAAGGATTGCGCGCGGCCTCCGGAGCAGCCCGAGAGGGTCGTTATGAGGCGTTTAAAGTCTTCGGGAGTGGTATCGCCCAAGGTTTGCGCGCGGCCTCCACCGGAGTAGCCCGAGAAAGCCGTTATGAGGGAATTATAGAGTCTTCTGGAGTGGTATCGCCCAAGGTTTGCGCGCGGCCTCCACCGAAGCAGCCCGAGAGGACGGTATGAGACACCTAGAGCCTTCCGGAGTGGTATCGTCCAAGGTTTGCGCGCGGCCTCCATCGGAGTAACCCGAGAGGGCCTTTCAAGGCATTTAGAGTCTTCCGGAGTGATATCGCCCAAGGTTTGCGCGCGGCCTCCACCGGAGTAGCCCGAGAAGGTCGTTATGAGGCGTTTAGAGTCTTCTGGAGTGATATTACCCAAGGTTTGCGCACGGCTTCCGCGGAGCAGCCCGAGAAAGCCGTTATAAGGCTTTTTCAATCTTCCGGAGTGACATCGCTCAAGGTTTGTGCGCGGTCTCCGTCGGAGCAGTCTCTTCCGGAGTGGTATCGCCCAAGGATTGTGCGCGGTCTCCACCGGAGCAGGCCGAGAGGGCCGTTATGAGGGAATTATAGAGTCTTCTGGAGTGGCATCGCCTAAGGTTTGCGCGCGGCCTCCGCCGAAGCAGCCCGAGGAGCTGTATGAGACGTTTAGAGTCTTCGGGAATGGCATCGCCCAAGGTCTGCGCACGGCCTCCGCAGGAGCAGCCCTATGAGGCGTTTAGAGTGTTCTGGAATGGTAGGACCCAAGACTTGCGCGCGGCCTCTGGAGCAGCCCGAGAGGGCCGTTATGAGGCGTTTAGAGTTTTCCGGATTGGCATCGCCCAAGGTTTGTGCGCGGCCTTCGCCGGAGCAGCCCAAGAAGGCCGTTATAAGGCTTTTCAATCTTCCGGAGTGATATCGCTCAAGGTTTGCGTGCGGCCTGCGCCGGAGCAGCCCGAGAGGGCTGTTATGAGGTGTTTAGAGTCTTCCGGAGTGATATCGCCCAAGGTTTGAGCGCGACTGCCGCCGGAGCAGCCCGAGAAGGTTGTTATGAGGCGTTTAGAATTTTCTGGAGTAATATCGCCCAAAATTTGCGCGCGGCCTCGTCCGGAGCAGCCCGAAAAAGCCGTTATAATCTAAAGTTTGTGCGCGGCCTCCACCGAAGCAGCCCGAGAAGGCCGTTATAAGGTATTTAGAATGTTCTAAAATGGTATCGCCTTAGAATCTGCTAGAGTGATATCGCGAAGCTATACGCGCGGCCTCTTCTGCAACAACCCGAGAGGGCTTTTATAAGACATTTAGAATCTTCCGGAATAATATCGCCCAAAGTATACGCGCGGCCTTCTCCGGGAGCAGCCCGAGAAGGCCTTTATAAGGCATTTACAGTCTTCCAGAATAGCATCATACAAAATTTGTGTTCGGCCTACGCCGGAGCAGCCCGAGAAATCCATTATAAAACATTTAGAATTTTTCCAGAGTCAAGAGAAGAAACAAAACAAAAAGAAGAAGAAAAGAAAGAAAAAGAGTATCTCCCAAAAAGTAAGAACTCTTCATAATAATATAAAGAATAATAAATTAAAAGAATAGAGAAATAAATAAAATCAATAATAAAAATATAGAATTCAAAATAATTAGAAATAGATAGATAGATAAAAATAAATATAATATATTCAAAAACCACTATACCAGAATTTCGGTAAATTTATCGAGAAAGAAGTGCTCACAGTAATCTAGTTTCCCAAATTTGAATACCGCGACACAACAAGCTATCGAAAAGAAACACGTCAAAAACGAACGTCAAAGCGCGAAATTATAAGGGGTCAGGGGCGCGCACGGAATCACGGGTGCAAGCAATAACATACCGTTTTATAAGAGAATTTTCTCTGTCTTTGTTTCTTTACTCAAAAGAAATATAACAGTACTGTAATAATAACTAATAGCTCCAATCCCACGTCAATAATGTGACGACACGACATCATTTAATAGGTGATGTCAGCTTAAAGCGCACTTTTCAGAGGCCCACATCCTCTCAGTAGACTTGAAGCGTCATTGCAAATTTCGCAAATCGGCTGTATGAGGTGCCCAGCTCCCAAAATCATCGCACCCCCAAATAATGTTTACCAGGGAATGGGAGGGTGGGAAGAATTTTGATGTTATTCGGGTGGTTGTAGGGCGCAACCATATACTTGGCAAGGAGAGCCCGAGCAAGCCTGTGACATAGCCGATGCGGATACGGCTGGGAAACACGCGTGAAGCTAATGCCAGAGTGATGCTTGCCAGTCAGCTGCATATGTTTAGCATGCGTACGGTTACACAAGCCGTCACTTGACAGACATTGTCGCACGCAAGCTTTTGCATCATCTGAAGAGATGTTGTCTACCAAGAAGCAAGTACGGTTTTTCCATGTAGTTCCCCACTGGCAAAAATCATACACAAGGACTTGGACTTGTGGTCGGCCTTAAAGACGAACAACTTCAGGAAGAAACCAAGCCTTGCTCGAGTGGGGATGCTCTACAATCCAGGGGAGGTTAGCTACATTAAGCCAATGAATGAGTTTGATGGCCGATTGCATGCATGGATTGCCAGCTCTATTCTTTTCGGCGTCCTGTACAAGGCCCTGGTAATCCCCACGGTGAGGATCGAGTCTGACGCACTCCGGCGCAGTCACGAGCCTGAGTTAAAGAAAAACGTCGGTGAGGCGATCATGCCCCCAAGGTCTCGATGACCCTGAATGTCAAAATGGATCTTCGAGCCCCAGTGCTCTTGCAGCTCTGGTGACCCGGCCAGAGCCTGAGCAAAAATCATCGAGGTAACTGCCTTTCTTCACCGGCCAGGGAAATGGACAGCCGAATAACTGTGGCCGAACATCATGTCCTCGAGGAAGCGCTCGGCGGCGCGACAGCACAACTGGACATCCGAGCCCAGCTTCTGCCACATCGCTGCTAGACGCCCACCCAGCCTTCTCGTATCGAGCCACACTCTGTCTCGACAGCCATCCTCCGCGTCGTCTGACTTCCTCTTGGGATCGCACATTCTTGGCCCGATGGATAGATGGACCCGAGTGTCAGGCTTGGCCGCTCGGCCATGGAGCAACTCCGCTTGAAGTTCGATGGCTTGGGGCTCAACCTTCATGCCAGCGAAGTGACTTGTCTTAGTGTGGAAGCCTTGGGTTACCTGGTTCGACCTACCCCCACTCGTTTTTGGAAAGTGCATCAGGCCGTCCAGGGACGTCTGCTCCGAAAGCATTGCTCAAGCCCCGTTCCTGGTCACTTCACCCTTTGCGGACTTACGTATGTGCGGGATGTCTTTGAGCATATTGAGTAGTGCTTACGGCTTCATACAAAAATGTTCTGATTCAGTCGGCGTGATGTGGCCGTCGATGGTAAACGAGCTTGAGGCCTTGAAGGGGATCCTGTTCATGTTGGTTTCGGAGTTTGTCAGGCCTCGTGGCTGAAGAACAAGGCCGCTGCGCATGGGAGGCGCTTGAAGAGCAGCCGTTTCATGCGTCTCAGGGCTCACTCGGCTCGTGAATCCGCTCTGCAGGCAGGTGGCTTCACCAAGCATAATTCCGGAAGGTGGACCGTGCGTACGGATGGAGCTGACTCTTTTTTAAACGCGGGCTGGGTGATTAATGATTCCTTTGACGAGACTCACTCGGCAGTCCTTCGGAGAGAGTTGTGGGCTCCGGTGGTCCATGGACGATGGAGCTACAAGGAGGATATCCTTGTTCTGGAGGCGTGAGCGGTGCTCATTCAGGGGCTGCGAAGGGTGCTCATGACACGATTCGGACATGCTCTGAGACAACTCGTTTTGTGTGACGATCTTTCCGCTGTACTTACTCTCGAGCGGTGCCGATCGAGGAACTACAAGGTTTTGAAGGTGCTTCGTGTGGAGGTGACTTCTCCCAACCAACCAGGCGAAGGTGGCGGCCCTGACAAGGTCAAAATTGCCAAAAGTTATCGGCGCCGAATCTTCGAGCGAGAGCACACTGTTTAGAGCATGTCAAAGTTCGAGGGCGAGAAGCTCGGAGGGAGAAAGCGCACGGCAATAAGCAGGCCAAAGCGTGGACTGCAACGTTTGTGGATCACCGAATGGGTGTGAACGCGGAATGCCCGAGATTCTTGGAGACGGCGGCGATCTCACCTGATGGAGTTTGTGCTGCAAAATGGGCTGAAGTTCGATATCACCATGATCATGTATACAGTTTGCAAAGCCGGGGTCACGAAACATCCCTGTCGCGAAAAACATCCCTCGCCATGATCATGTAGAAGATGAGCCTGGGCTAGGGGACGTACTGAACAGCATAATCGCTCATTGGCCCATTCCGCGAAAAACAAACTCCAAGAAAAACTCTGGCAAACACATCCATCACAAGGATATACTGGGTCTACGGGTGCGACATAGACCCTGTCCACATAATTTTGCTGGAGTCCGACCACTTTGGCCGACACAGCCTCCCATGCGAAGAAACGAGCCACCCACATAGGCACCCTCAGCCGGTGAAAACAATCTTTAACATCACTCAGTCCCAGGAATGTAATTACCGCGCGAAGTGCCCCAAGACTCACGACCTGCGGCACGTAAGCACTGTCTTCGAAAGATACTTCAAATCGCCCAAAGCTCTCTTTCGTTATAGTGTACTCTTGGAACTGGTTTGAATCTCCGATTTGAGAGGCATGCGTCAGTGATGAGCCTATGCATGATTCGAGAGATCTTCCAAACAAAGAAAACTTCGACTCTGCACGATGGCCTCGTGGTGTACTTGAAGTATAGTTGATATCGTTCGGGCGTCGCACAAGCTCATGGTAAGCCTTCTTGTTGTACCTAAGCTTGGGATCCCAACAAGGCTCCAAACCATCCTCTTCAATGGCTTCATGTGAAAGCACCAGCTCTGATTGCTCCTCCAGGTACCAGAAGTGGCCGGGTGGCAAGACATCTGTAAGTAACGGACACCTGCCAACATCATCAAGAATTTAAAGGAGTTCGGACTGGCAGAAGGCAACGGTCTCAGTTGAAGGTCTCCAGTCGTAAGGAGAACCTCCGCGGAGAAGCACGCATAGGGCTCCGGGGTGGTCCGGCGCCGCGGGGCTTCTGGTCGAAAACCAGACCTTCCCCATCCAATTCAGACTGCCCACAACTGCATTGCAGATGTCAAAATGCTTCCGAATTCGAGCCCGCCGTTGTTGAACCATTCGGCTAGCACCAGGATGCACCAGGCAAACGTGCAGGACAGGAAAAGCGTGGGGGCGGAAAGAGTCGCCTCTCTTTACGACTAGCAGCGGCTGCAGCCCCAGGTTGGTTTGCCCCCACAGGCCCCTCCGAAAAAGGCGAATCAACCGAGGGGCCAACCGATTTGTTAATTGGTGCCTGAGGCATTTTGCTGCCCCCCGCTCACGGCCTTTCTTCGGGCTTCGAGCCTTTTGGGGGCTTGGTTGACTGGCCTTCCGACCCTTCTGCATGTGGATCCTCGCCGGCTATGGTCGGGCTGCCACGAAGTTCGCGAACCATTTGCCGTGCCTGAAGCAGCTCCAACTCCTCCTTGTTCTTCTTGGCTGCGTAGGTCCTTTAGATTGGAAAAACAATGGCCTGGACCTTGGAAGACCGTCGCATGCCCCCAGCTTGGACGATTGGGATTCGTGCGCGCCTCAACCACCGATTGCACCCGCCGGCAAACCAGAGCCGGGATGTTGACCTGGTCGTGTCCCGGCATAATGTAGAGCATCACAAAGAACCCTTAACACATGATAAACTCGGTCACTTGGTTCGACATGTTTTGCCCTGCACCAAAGCAACAGCCACTGCCTAACATCACCTCCGTGACGTTCAGTGTGCTTAAAACATGTAGCGTTGCGAGCAGCCCATCTTTTCTCTTCTCATCAAAGATGGGGGTGTAGCTTTCTTTACAAACGTCCTTCCACGTCTTTTATCTTTCTCCCTGCTCATCATTGACTCATCATAACCTTCCCAAAGGGTCCGCGCTTCCTCGCACTTTTCGTCCACTGCGCCTTTCTTGGTCGGCTGCTCGATCTGATCCAGAAGCCTTGTCCCAGCTGGGCCCTCAGAAGCCGGGGAAGTCGGATATTTGAACAGCGCACGCCTTCTCAAAGCATAGTCCTCACTGTCTTCAGTTCGAACCAACTCCGCTTTAACACGCTCTCCACCTCGGCTGAAGAAAACGAGCCGATCACCCACCTGAACATCGGTGACCATGTTCAGACTCACCTCTTGGACCAGGACGAGATTTCCCAAAGGCTCGCTTTCGCCCGGCATGGCTAACATGTCCACCCGCATTGATGGTGTCTCTGTTGGACGGACCTTTGCCCCGAAGGAGTCTCCCTGCCAAGGCGTCCCCAAGAATGATGTGGCATCCTGTGTGCTTCCATCTCTCAAAAAAATCCCCGTAGGCCTCCAAGCTCCCGTCTTGCGAACTGTTTCGCCAAAAGCCTCAATGGACTCAGCGATCTTTCTGTTTAGCTCCTCGTCAGAGATGTCACGGCTGAAGCGGTAAGCTGCCTCGCCCACTCGCGACCAATACTGAAAGTCGGCATTCCACATCTTTAAGTAATCACACCCTGCGTCATCATGACCAAAGACATCCTCAACATACATGTCAAAGTCTGGGGTGAGCACCAACCACGTCAGGCCATCTACAAACCACAGGAGCACTCGCTCGTGATACATGTTATCATCAGCAAAGTACGCAACCACGCACTGTCCTGGAAGGCATTTGCACAAATCCTCCGCCGTGCCAGCGCAGAAGCCATGTGACCAGCGGGACCTTTAACTTCATCTCTGAGAGCCGAAATCTCAAGAGGCGGCGACATATTTCGAGCGCTCCCTGAGATTCGCGTGACACACTCCCACAATATTATTTCAACTTGATCAGTCTAAGACGAGAAAGGAATAAAAAAATGTCCAGGCAAGATTGAGATGACCTCAGCTACGTGCCCAGTACCCAGCAGTACCCAACGCGCACGCATCTCAAGCAAGCATAAGCCGCTTTCTGGGCTCGATGGGATGTCCAAGTTGTCCACCCTTCAAGCTAAGCGCTGGAACGCTTCCTTGTCTATCAATATGAAAAATGATGTGCCTGCTTCGTGCACTCAGAGCTTGCCGACCTCAGCACCGTCATACCCGCCAAGCAGAGACATACCCGGCAGTAAGTTCAGCAAGTGGCGTTGAACATGCGCACCAATCCGGCAATAAAGAAGCCCAAAAAGAAGATGGCGAAGACCTGAAGGAAGTAGCACCGTCGCGTGGGTCACAGAGCTCAACAATTAATACATATCTTTCTTATCGTGGCTCAGTGCTGCACCAGACCAAACTGGTTGAGCTCCTGCAAGCGCGGCAAACCGATGAAGAAACTGCAGAAGAACCAATACGGAACTTGCAAATGCCTGCATGCAGATTGAAACGAAATTGATGTAAGCCTGATCCTCATGCTTCGTTCAACACTGACCATTAAACCTCCAGCTCTCCGTCTCAGAGAATGCGTGCGCTGGCTCTGGAACGGATCCGATCAAAGCAGCCGCGGCACCTGAATCACACAACGGCTCGTTGAGTCTGTACCAGTCTCATCTAGTCACATCCAGTCGGAAACTGTACCT